TCTGCCTCCTTTCATAACATGCAAGTGGGGGCCGTTAAGGCCCACGGGGATGTGGGCAGCTGGCGCTTAACCATTACCAACGTGGCCAGCCTTGTACGTGAGAGGCACAGTAAAAGGGGTGTTGTAAGAACAAATAAACTGGGAGGCCTCCCAACGATAATAACGGTGAATATAGTAAAGACAACGATATAATTGATCTATTGTGTTGCATATTGCTAACTGTCTCATTGTCGAGTAGGCCCCTCTCAAGTGTTGCTGCATGGCTTGCATAGAGGTCAGGTTCCGATGATTTTGGATCGACTCATGTAGGCATTGCTTGCATAAAGATAATATTTTTATTCTATTTGCTGATTATGGAGGCAACACTGTTCCCTTGGTGGATTGATTCATCTCAAGCATGCTTCATCGTCTACAGATGTTATGAACCTGGTTGCTTGTTGTCAGAAGGCCAACACTCGCTCACATAGACTTCCAGGCATGCCCATACATACACAGAAGGAAGGGGAGAGGATGGCAGTATCACACCGCACAGGGAGATAGAAACACAGCGGAAGACTTGACCATGCGATATGACAGAGTACACTGAAAGTGCAATTCACTCCACAGAATCCTCACAACCAGTCACAAAGGAAAGCCGAGTAGATCACATCCAGGAAATAATGAAGCAAAGATAGTTCAGACACAGTATCCACACTGTTTATTAATTTGTCACTTTGTCAGTGTCTCAATTTGTCAGAATAACCCCAGAACTGTGATGCACTGCTCAGAAATGAGCAGTGCTTCTTTCCCCAACCCTGAGTAACCGCTATCACTACCCCTGAGCCCCTGAAACAACCAGCGCCACCCAGATACTGCCTCCAGAGGGAAGCGCCACCCTGGAACAGGCCTATGAGGCCAAGCGCCTCTCAGCGGATGAAGAAGAAGACCAACCAGCACCCCACAGTCTCTGATGATGATGAAGTGCCAGAATACTTCCCGGATGGAAATCTGTAGCAGCGCCACCTCTCCTGACAAAGATGATCTCTGAGGATGAAAGCTGCAGCTATGGCTGCAGCGCCACACACCCTGACACCCTACTCCTGAGGAGGGTTCAGCAGGGCACCAACTTCTCTTGCCTCCAGCAGACTTCAGATAGCCCGTACCTCTGAACAGCCCCGCGTGCTGTCAGAGAACAGCGTCCCAGCTATGGCCGACGCTTCGAAGGTACGGCTATGACTGTCTCCTCCAACGCTGAAGCTGTACCACCACCAGTTCATGCGTTGCGCAGCCACGATGTACACGGTACCAACTGCCAAAAGCCTATTCATAGTCTACCCTAGCGTAGACATGACCTAGACTGGACTGACCGGTACCGTTTCAGTTCGGCCTCTAGGGCCTCTCCTTACCCGGCTATATGCTATAGCAACTGTCCATCAGCATAGGCCTCACGGCCTCTGTCCTAGTGGTAGCCCGGGTCTGCTATTCGCAGTTAGGGTAGCTTTAGGAAATTCGTGTTAGTCTGGGCCTGCAATTTCCTCAAAATTTACAGATATGTCCCTCACGAATTTTCCCAACAGAGATATCTCGGTAGCCCTCAGCCAAACAAATTTGTGAATCTAACCTATCTATGTTACAGCCTGGGGTAGACAGGTCGCAGGCTGCAGAACCAGCAAGTCTTTGCACAGAGGTAAAGTCTCTGCGATTTTGGACCTACTCATTTGGGTGGAACAGGGGATGTTGTGGTGAACATTCACAACACACACACATCCACGGCTCTTGCCAAGGAATATGTATCGGCGACAAGATGGTACCACCCATTCGTGTCCAGTTCTGTAATTTTACAAGAGTGGCATTTACATGGCTATCACGAACCCATCCAGACTCGGACAACTGGTCGGTGCGGATATGGTCCGCCGGTCTGAAGCGTTCGGACATGGTCTGAATTGGTCCGAATTGGTCCGAATTGGTCCGAATTGTCCAAATTAGTCTGGATGGTTGTGTTCGGAGCGGTCCGGATTCCAGATTAAAAAAAAAAAAAAAAAAAAAAAAAAAAAAAAAAAACCTAGCAGGTCTCTTACTCATGTTCAATGCAGTTTCATCATGTAACCTTGGCTTTCCTTTTAAGGGGAGTGTCCCAAGAAGACCTGTTGGCATATATGTCAAACCTGAATGGCATTCTACGGTTTTTCTACAAACTGCGGCAAGGGAAGAAAAAGTAGAGACGTGGCCGCTCCGGCCGCCTTGTACGACCGATACGGGGCCCAGAAATCAAAGGAACATTTTTGGTGGGGTGCCCTAGACCCAAGCAACAGGTCCACGATGCCCCCCTTTTTTTTGAATTTTTGGGCTTTGACCTCCACCCGACAGGCCTCCTACAGTTCGGCATCCGGAGACCGATCCCCAGACCATCGGGATCCCATCCGGATGGTCGCATGGTGGCCACTTAGATTAACAAGCAATATACCTTCTCCAGACCCCAACAATTGCCCTTGTCGACAAACATTTCCACGCTGTACAAACACTGTTGATGGTCATGTGGCGACAATGGACTATACTATGGTACCGGAGTGGGTTAGATGGTGGTTATGTGAGCTGACACTTCTCAAATTCAAAAGTGATCAAATCCTCACATGACCCGCACGTGAGCCCCAAATGACACACAAAACATGAACAGAGCGAGGGGTACATCCTCCTACTCCATCTGTTACGGACTCAGCCAGGGATCGATGCCTGGTCCGCGGGTTACCACCCGCCAGGCTACTATTTCATTTTTGAGTCTCTGATTTCCGGTTCCTGACTGTTGGCGCCCTCAGCAGTTGGCGCCCATTCTCAAATCCCTCAGGCACTTTCAGCTGTCGATACTTGGCGCCATCCGGCATTCTGGCGCCCAGGCTCAGACCTTCGATTTTCAGTTCAGCCCGAGGCAAATTGCACTTCTGCCCTCGGACTCAACTTGAGTCTGGTACTTAAGACTGGACTCGAGCTGAGTTCAGGCATTCGGTTTTCGGCCTCAGTGCTTGCGCTTCAGTGTGACTTGCTGCGACATTGTGTTCCGAACCCAAGATTGTGACTTTGCGACTTTGCCACTTTGCCACTTTGTGTGACGAATGCCAGGCTGAGGGAGACAGGGAGAGCCGAGGGGGAGGAGAGAGAGAGGGAGAGAGTGAGAGCACACACACACACTCACTCACGACCGAGGGTCGGACGTAGACACAGTGGCAAAGACACAAAGTCGAAGTCTTGGATTCCAAATGCCGAAACAGGAGCAAGGCACACTGAGTACGAGCACAGCAGCTGAAAACTGGTACGAGACTGGTCCCCGTACCGTACGGGGAGCCGGTATAAGTACCGGTGACACGTACGGTACCAGGGGCATTTCTGCAAAGGCCCCGAGGGCAGAACTGAAAAATGCGATATTTGAAAGTGGCGCCCAAATTGCAGCATGGCGCCAGTTGTCCAAAATCCAGCGGTACCAAAGGAGGGGTTTGGAAAAAGGGTGCCAGGCCGAAAACGGGATGCAGCCGAAACAACAAAAAGATAGACCAGGGATCGAGCCCTGGTGGAGTCCATAACACTATCCCCTCCCTCTGAAAGGCAACGTCCCGGCTGCCAAAAAGCCAAGGAAACAAAAGGAGTTGTGAAGGACGGGACGGGGCCGATCACAGGTCGGAGAAGGAGAAGGGGGGTGATGGAAGTCACAGGGTATTTTGTCTGGTGTTCTGCACAGGTGAAGGTATGATGTAACTGGGTAGGTCTATAGGGGAAGCTAAGCAGTGTTCAGGGGACAGGGGATTTCCATTGATGTTCTACTGGGTAAGGGGAAACGATGTTCAGGAAAACAGGGAATTTCTATTGATGTTCTAGTGGGTAAGGGAAACAATGGTCAGGGAACAGGGAATGTCTGTTGATATTCTAGTGGGTACGGGGAACAAAGGTTAGGGAAACAGGGATCTCCTAATGATGTTCTACAGGGTTGTCAAAGTCAGGAAAAATAAAAATGAAAATTTTTGTTCAGGATGCAAGGGCTGGTGTGTCCGAAGGAGTCGGAAGCAGAATCTCATGTAGGAAAACATTGTCCAAGTGTCTTGAAAGGGGGTCTGCAGCGGTCTTGATCAGGTCTTTGGAGTAGGTGGTCGAAGCGGTCTTCAGCGGCTGCGACAGGTAGAAGTCCAAGAAGCGTAGCAGTAGTTCAAGTGTCAAAGTCCAAGTGCTAGGGTGCGTCCGGTACAAGAACTGCAATGAGGTCTGATCTGGAAGCAAGGAAGTCGCGGACTGATGCAAAGGTCTATGTCACAAGTTGCTGCTCCAGTAAGTCCGCGAGTCGGGGTGCCGGCCGATGAAACAGCATGGTGGCCAAACCAGCTGCATAATCTCCATGAACAGTGAGGCAGCAGGCCATCGTCCTGGTGCGCTTGCCATTAAATCCTTTATCGCCGGCATCACGCAGGTTCACAAGCATTGGACAAGAGACACAAGGTAGTGGAGAGGACAGATGGGACAAGGCTAGGCGAGGGCAAGGGCAGATCAGACATCAGGAATCAAGGTCAAGGGGAAGGTGGACTGGGTTCAAGGGTGTGTGTAGAACGGGGTTGCGAGGTTGTAGCAGGGTTTATACAGGGGCTTAGGGTTGAGAGTAGAAGAGCAGGTGCCAGTGGGATGCTTGGCCGACGGGATAGCAGACGTCGTCGAGAAGGCGGCAGGCGGAGTAGACTGTGTCGCTTGGGGGTCGTCCAATGGGATGTGCGTCACCGGAGGGGGGTAGGCAGACGGATAGTCGATGCCAAGTGAGCCACCGGTGGAGGAGAGATCGTCACCGATGGGAGAGCCGACAGACTAGTGGTCGATGCCTGGGAAGGATTGCAAGAGACAGGGGGACAGTGTTCAGGTGGGGGAGGGCTCGACTGTCGCGGTGGAGGAAGAAATCGGAGTAGAAGGGCCGGGTCCCGTGGAGCGAGGGGCCGGTCGAGTAGCACGACTAGTGTTGGGGCAGTTGGTCTGTTGATGACCTAAACTGGTGGCAGCGGAAACACCCGTTGTGTTCCTGGAGGTATATGCGTTCTGCGGGTGTGAGTTTTTGGAGACGACGGGGTGGAGAAGCAGAAGGCGGTCGGGGGGCACGATCCTGGCGTTCCGTCCGCATAAGGTGGGTGGTCGGGAGGTCCTCAATGGTGAATTGGGAGGGGTCGAGAGAGGCAGTGCCAAAGTCGTCATCGGAGGTGGGTGGAGTGGTGTTGTTATGGAAAAAGCGGGGGCGGGAGGGAGCGGGCGCGGACTGGTGATGGGGGTGGAGGAGTTGATCGTGGTGAAGCATGCGAGAGAGGAGGTCAACGAGGGGCATGTAGGGTTCGTGGGCGAGGGCGGTTGCAAGGTCTTTGTAGCATACTCGCGTGATGCGGGAGATGAACGCAAAGTCGGGAATGATGGTGTTGGGGAGGTGATGGCGGAGGGAGCGGATGTATTGGATGAAGCGGTTTGTGGGACCGGTCTGGCGGAGGTGACAAAATTGTCCGAGGTAGTCATCGATGGTTTTCTGGGGGCGGAAGGTGGCAGTGAGAAGGTTGGCCCATTGGAGGAAGGAGTGACGCGGTCCTCCGGAGGCACGACGGTTGCTGACTTCGGCCATCCACCATTTGGCGGCATTGCCGAGGAGGTGGGAGGTGGCAATGGGAAGGCAGTGGACAAGGGGCATGTGGTGGAGGTTCAAAGAGTTTTGAAGTTGGGTAAGGAAGAGGAAAACGTCCTCGTGGGGAAGGCCGGAGAAGGACATGATGTCGGTGGATCAGAAGGAACGGGGGACTTCCCCTTCGCGGGAAACGATCCGGGCGAGGGTGTTGAAGTCGAGGTTATCCAGGGTGGTGTCGTAGCAGGTGTAATCGAATTGGCTGTTGTCGTCAAGGAGGTAGTTGGGGGGAAGTTGTGGCATTGCGGGGTAAACCCAGAGGTGATTTGGGAATAGGTGGGATGGAGGGTGGGGATGGTGGAGGTCGTCACGATGGGTTGGGGAATGGTATGAGAGTGCGGGGGGCGAAGAGGGGTGACGTGGATAGACGAGGAATGAGGCGGTGTGTTGGATGCGCCGGATGAGGGAGGAGGTGGGGGGAGCGAAACGGTGGTGGATGATGGGGTGGGGGAAGGGTTGAGGAGGAAGGGTTGGTGGATATGGTGGTGGAGGTGGTAGGAGTGGAGGAGGTCGGCGGGGGCGTGTTGTTAGAGGCGGCCGTGGAGGAGGGAGTGGTCTGCGTTGTGGAGGAGGGAGGTGCGGCCGTGGTGACGGCCGTGATGGAGGGGTTGTTCCCTTCGAGCGTGGTGACGCGGTCGGATATGGACGACATGGTGGCCTTTATGTCGTTGAGAGAGGCGGTGACGGATGTTTGGAGGGTGTCGAGTATGTGGAGGATGGCGGAGAGGTCGGGGGTGGCGGTGTTTGCTGGTGTTTGTTCGCCTGCGAGGTTGCGGGCAATGCCATCGACCGAGTCGGTGCGGATGTCACACATGTTGATGGAGGATGCGGCCATGTCAGGGGAAGAGGGGGTGGAGGACACGACCGGAACGGATGTGGAGGATGCAGCAGCAGCAGTGGAGGCGGCAGTAGCGGTGGTGTTGGCGGCGGTGCTTTGGGAGTTCTTGGGTTGGCGTGGTGGCATGTGGAGGTGGGGGGGGCAATCCCTTGTTTATTGATCAACAAATTCAAAAATAACGATAATTGCCAAGATTTTTGGAAAGTAGGGTAATATTGAATAAAAAATGAATTTATTCCGATTGGAATTTTATTTATTCGAAATTAATTTGGGCAGAACAAAATTTTGAAGGATCCGAAGGAGAGATTTACAAAATTCGTTGCTCAAAATATTGGAAAAAAATAAATTTGAATTTATTTTAAAATTTATTTACGTGAAATTTTGGAATATTTTTGAATTATCGAAAGAATTAGGAGGGGGAATTTAAAAAAAAATTGTTGAAATTTTGAAAAATTAATTTCGAAGGAAGGAATAACTTTCGAACATGAATTCAAAGAAATGACGGCAAAGAAAATAAATTTTGAAATAATTTCATAAAAATAAGTAATTAATTTCAAATAAAAGGGCCTTTACCCGATTCAGACCCTGTTTGACGAATGCAGCATAGTGGGGTCACTCGCCCAGAGCCCAACTCGTGAAAGCAGATCAAAGGACATGTTCTCTGGGTCAAAAGTCACATCCCAGCTAAGTAAAAGTCAATGTCAAAGGTCACAGTTGTGCCCCTGGACGAACAGTTGCAACATTCAGATATGGGAGTCGCATTTGTTCATCCAGGGGGTGTGCAAGTCATGTCTGTTCATGCAGGAGATGTGTCTGTACGTGCAGTATGTGTGTTTGTTCGTGCAGTATGTGTGTCTGTTCGTGCGGGATGTGTGTCTGTTCGAGCACTAGATGTGCCTATTCAAAAGAAGTCAAAAGGTTAAGTCCCAGTCACGAATTAAGTCAGAGGGAGAGTCTAGATACAGGCCCCAAGTCCAAAATTCAGGCCAGATGGCCGCAGCAGCAGCAGACCTTGAAGGGAAAGTACTGGGACACACACCATGCAGAGGTCTGGGACTGAAGGAGGCCCGAAGTTGCCAATGCAGACCTCGCAAAGGGAGGCCAACAGTATAAAGAAGCAGGCCAGCCTCCCTTGAAGACAGATCCCCAGTGGCATTCTGGCGTGGATGTGCTGAAGGCACTTGTGCGCTGGCTGGCTGGGTGAGCGATGGCAGGAGAAGCTGCGCTAAGAGAGGAAGAAGGCTGGGCGCTGGCAAGTCGCAGCCATAGCTGCCCTAACTAGCTAATGTAGTTAGAGGGTTAGTAGTTAGTCTTCAGTGAGTAGCATTCAAAGTAGATTCTCGTAGAGGGAGTGTGCATGCATGATGAGAGAAGAGAACTGAGACAGAGATCTTGAGGGAGAGAGAGAGAGGAAGGGGGCAGGCGTACAAGACATACCTGTTCTGCGTTTAACTTGTTGTTGAGAGGTGGCGCTGGATGAGCCAGGCCCCACATTGCAGTTGTATAAGAAGGAGAGATATATCGCACTGCTGGTTCTTGAACTCGAGATACTCTCATAATGTGTTGGAGATAATATAAGTTGTGCAACGTGGTTCACATCTCATCTCTACTTTGTGCTGTGTGATGGTTCTTAATCTGTGTGATTGGCAATGTGGCATGCATTGTGATACACTCTCGCAAGTTGTGGACAGTCAGGTCCCTTGCAATCTTGGTATCGGAGCAAGTACTTGTTGCACTCATTGCGCTGGCATGAGCAATGCCGGCGAGAGGAGGAAGGACGCTGGCTTGATGATGGTTGCTGGCGATGGTGGAAGAATAGAAGAAGTGGACTGGGATAGGAGAGAGAAGTAGGCCGAAGAGGAAGGGGCAAAGGGAGACTTACCTTGCGTGGAGCATTGGAGTGCGGAGCGACGAGTCTTCATCGACGACATCTGCAAAAGAGAGAAGAGACCCTTTATCCCCTTACCTTGCTGCATGAGTGTGTGTGTGTTGAACCTCTACTTCTCCTCTTCTCTGGCGGTCGCTGCAGCTGCTGTCTGGTCTACCCGAGGTCTGGTCAGCTCTGAACGTCAGGATACAAGTGTCTGGTCACGTTAGTGTTAAAGGTGGTCAGAGTCCTGTCTAGTCCTCTCTTCTACCCCTCTGGTTTGACATCTGTAGGAGGTTGTAGTAAGGTAGGAGAGCGCTGGTTGGTAGTGGCTGACTGCCACGTCAGGATGCAAATATGACATAAGGCAAAATCATATGGGCAGCGATAGTCTGCGCGACCGAAGTATAGCCCAGGCATCTGACACAGTATACAATCCAGTTCTTCCTGCGCAGGGGACAAACAAAGAAGGTTAATACAAAAAGAAACAGCCAGATCAAGAAGGAAGAAAGAGAAGTCCTGATTAAGGAGGAAACCGGCAGCGTGTAAAAAAAAAAAAAGGAAAGTTCTATCGAGTTCTTTATTGTCTGAAATTCGTTATCTTTGAGGCAGCGATTCCCAGAGTTTGAAAAAAAAAAAAAAAACCAGCATCCCATCCACGTCAGACAAAGTTCAGTAGTAGCTTGGGAGTAGTCTCCTGGTGGACCGGCGGAGGATCACCTGTGCTATCATCCACCATGGATGACTATCCCATGCAAGGATTACTGGCCCTTTCTGTCTTGTTGGGCCCCTCTTCAGAGTCTTCTTTCCCCTGGGTTTCGGGAGAAACTGCACCTCCCGAATGATGATGAGATCTGGTGCTGTGAAGCCAGGGCCCACGCCTGCAGAACAGGCTGAAGTGGAACGCCGCTAGGCTGAAAAGAAGAAAGAAAAAGAAGAAAGAAAAAAACAGAAAGAAGCAGAGATACAAAAGAAAGTGAAGATAGAAGAAGAGAGAATGAAGAGAGAAATGAGAGAAAAGTTGGAAAGAGAATTGAAAGAAGAATTGCGGTCTATAGAAGAGGAAGTAGAGCCCGATGATGAAGGAGACAGGCTCATCAGGCGACAAATAGAAAGGGGAAAGACTAGCCAACCAGGTGGGGAACTTGAGATTAAACCGCTGGATTGGTATGACCAATATGCCTATTCCGGCGACCGGATTGAAGAGGAGGAGGAGGAAAGAGATGTATTTATTGCAAAGTTGGCATCCATTGCAAACCAGAGAGAAAAAGATCTATTGCTTGAGGAAAAACGTGCAGAACTGCATAGCAAAATGTTAGCAGCGAAGCGGCAGGAATTAGATGAAAGGAAAAGGCTGCAGGCAGAGGGTGCAAGATTGCATAAAGAGCTGCAAGATCAAAAAGGCAAGCAAGCTGCAACGGAAGAAAAACTTGCCCTCTTAACGAAAACAATCCTCCACACAAAGCAAGAAGTGGCGGCAAGAACCGTGAGACCCACCAGTATGAGTTTGAGGGAGTCTGGAACATGTTTCTACAGAAGTCCGCAAAGGATGTCGATCAGCACATACAGTCATACATCCAGAAATTAAATAACCATATTACACAGACCTTTACTCCGGTCGTGATTGAGAAGATAGTTTGTGGCAGCGGCGGCGGAGGATGAGATGGAGACGGAGATGGGGGCGATGGTGATAAGAAAGGGAAAGGAGTGCAGCGAGGAGAGGACGTGGGGCGGGCCAGTAAAATTGAAGTTAAAATTCCATGGACATACCTCTGGCGGACATCCTCCCTGGGTCATAACCCCCGACACCTCTACAACCCTTTTTTTTTTTCTTTTTTTTTTAAATGGTAAGAAAGAGCATAGTGTGTTACACTGGATTGCAGCAGTCGAGTCGTATGTCTATGGACAGCGCATTCCGTACTGGGACAAGGTGCTAATGGCAAGTTCGTGTATGGAGGGAGATGCCATGAGCTTCGCTATCTCCCTGCAGAAGGAAGCAGGTTGCATCTCCATGGTAGAATACTCCTAGCAAACTCGAATTGAGGACTTTTTCAAAGTCGTCCTAGAACGTTTTGAAGACAAGAACTTAGCCAGGAGGACAAAAATGTTAGTCCTAAACCTCCTAGATAGAAAATGGAAGAGCACCTCTATGCTTAAAGCCACCATGGCTTCTTGGCTGAGGCCAATTATTGCCATTATTGGAAGGATCTGGAAGCGGGTAAAAAGTGGCAAAACCGCACTATCTCAGGGTCTATACCTGGGAAAGACGGCCTCCTTCTGACCTTCGAAGAAGGAGGTGTCGAAACACTTTCTTGGGACCAAGTAGACTATGGTCTTGAGGAAGGACCCAGCGGTTCGGTAGCTCAGGAGGGGAGCTACGCGGCCGTTGTAGCCCGCGGGGGAGGGCGACAAGGAAGAGGACGTGCCCGAGGAAGAGGAGGCCGCAGACATGGTGGAAGAGGACCTGGCACCCAGAGGGGTGGTGGCGAAGGTAGCTACTACGTGGGTGGAAGGGGTAATGGTCCCTCGTAAGGTGGTCGTGGTTCGTTTTCCACCTGGGGAAGAGGAAGAGGCGCGTGGCATGGTACATGGGACAAACCATATCCACCCCATCCACGTTTGCCCGAAGGGGAGCCTTGGAAGAAACTGGGGATCACATAAAAAGTTTGGCAGGAAAGAAAAGTTGCTGATCAGTGCCTCAAATGTGGTGACCCCAACCACATTGTTCCCTATTGCCCAGATTACAAGATACTAAAAGAGAACAGCCAGTAGAGGTCTCAGTTGCCTCTACGGGAACTTCGGATGTAGAAAGAAAGACATCCTCCCATCCAAAGGTTCCACTGGCAGAGACTGAAGAGGAAGACAGTCCCCATCTAGTACACTGTCAAGAGGTAGTAAGTGTGTGTACCTCTCTAGGTAGATCCCTCGCTAGCATGGGTGATGAGTTGGCCGCTCGTCGCCAAGCCTGGACTGAAACGAAGAAACGAAAAAGACAGTTAATAATTGCAGATCTAGAAGTGAATAAAGTAAGAGTTGGAGGTATGATTGATAGTGGGTCAACTCGCAACTATATCAGTAAAAAAGGGTTAAAGAAGTTGCATCTCGGGCTAAAGGTTAAGCAATTAGATGAGCCCGTAATGAGTAAGTTAGCTAATAGTACAGTAACTGTAATGGATAGATATGTTGAAGGGGTTAAGATATACTTTCGGCTCGAAGCAGAGGGAAAGGTGAAACGCGTTCTCCACTCTCTGACTCTCTTGGTGGAAGATAATCTTCCTTTTGACATTCTTTTAGGTATGGATTGGTGTGAAGCTG